GCGAAACAGTGGTGGAATATCGCTGTTGCTTTCGTATAAATGAAGCGGACATACCTGCGTGGCCGCGATCTAATCCTGTTTACATAAAGTAAACCTGCTCCCGAGCAGGTTTACGCTTACGGCTCTGTTGCTATGACAGCAAGTCCCGGATGAGCTTCGGGGGAACCGAACGATCCAGAATCACGCGAAATCGTCAACAATCAAATCCAGCTAACTTACTTAGCGAGGTACGAAGAACGGGCCCCAGATGTGATATCTGATCATGCTGTGTTTGTTTTCAGTGTTGTACAGGAAAGGACCACCTTTCTACCACGCCAGGTAGCAAACACACACACAGCGGTGATTCTATGGAGGGCGTATCTTAGGAAAGCATCTTTGTTTTCAAAGTATTTCACATATTTTCTGTTTTAAACTCGTGACCTTTGACCTCTCTGATTATTCTTAGGGTCCATAACTTTGTCTCCATCCTCTTCCTGTAGCTACTCTGTGGTAATAGAACGGGCCGACGATGCATTCAGGGCCTCACCGTTGCGCCCGTTTTCGTGGCGTTCTCTGGCAGCTCTCAGCAGGATTACCGCCAACGTGTCGAAGGTACATGCCATCAGAGCGATCCCGCGTGGACCGAACTCTCTGCTCTTGGTTTCCTCAGAGAACCGCCTGTGTTTGTCTTATAGGAGCTGATGCTGTGCTACATCATCTATCCAGCCGACCTATCAGAAGCTGAGCTGGACTCACCTGTGTGTCTGAGAAGGCTGAAGGTCCAGGTAAGAAACCAGAACTGAAACTATCGATAATAGGGGGGGCTAAAACAGCTCCCAACAGCTAAAACAGGATCAGATAAAGAAGGATTATTTTGATCTGTGACTCATGCAGAGCTGATGCCTTCTGCACACAGCAGCGGGGGGCGCCATGGCGACAGCGTGTTTCATTTGGGACATTTTTTCATGACTGACTCTAAAGGCATCGAACTGGCATCTTTCACTCTTTAGGCAGATGCGTGAACCACTCATGGAGCTCCTCTAAGCAGGATAACATGGAGCTGGAATGACCGTGCCTTATTTTAGACGAGGAGAAGACAAAATGTTCAAACTCCCTGTCGTGTCTTGATGTTCAATCATTCAGGGGAGGAAATCCCAAAATGTTGATTCTGTTCACCTGGATGTAGTCAGTGGGAGAACCGTCATTATCAGGTGACTTCTTCAGGCTCAGCTGACTGCAGCTCCCCGACCCTATGAACGGGCACCAAACTCATACCCGGCTTCTGCACCTGTCTCGCTTTGTGATTGTTAGTCTGTGCATTATAAATCAACTGATCATGAACCCAGTGTTAGCTCCTCCCACTGAAAACGGTACATCCAGATGAATAGAATCAACTTCCTGGGATTGTTGATGCTGATGTCCTTCAGGTCAGATATTCCTCATTGGACACACATGAAACCTCCGACCACATATCAGTGCACTGACACTTTAAGTGAAGCCTCTGCTCTTCCTAAACTTCAGGCCTGTGAAGATTCAAGATGTGCACCGTTCAGACACTGATGTCATCAGATCCTACATGGTCCATTCCATGCAGCAGCTTGGTCGTTCTCCCTGTTGTTCTGACCGTGTCCCACCAGGACGAGACCCTGAATCACACCCCGAGACAGTCCTGGAGCCAGTGTGGAAGGACCCACGTGACCTTTGAGACGCTGCCTCTGAACCTGAGAGCCCGATGAGCCGTAGAACATGGATGTAGAAGCAGTGGTTGCCATGGAGCTGAAACCCAGGGTTAGGAGCTGCTTCCATCCCAACATTTCGGTTTTTAGGTCAACTTCATGCAGCTCCACCCCTCAGTAACAGCTGAGGTCATTAGCGTTCATCACACTGATCAACACTTCAGGAGGAGTGTCAGGGGTCAGTAAAGCTCCTGTTTCAGCAACACTGCCGTATCGACCTGTTATCAGGGATGTTAACATGTTAGCATGAGCTACTTAACTAAGAGCAATTACCCATTAGCCACGTTAGCCATCTGCAAATAAAGAGTGAGACCAGAGCAGAGCAGCCAATCAGCCGAGCAGAGCTGATGAGGACTCATGTGACTCAATGAATAGAAGCTCCGCCTCAATGACCAAGTTGCTAGTAATGGGGGCGGGGTTTAGGGTTGCCTGCTGGTGAAACACTTTGGTGATGTAGTTTTGTCTCCACAGGAAGTGATCGTCAGCAGGTGGGTTTCCTCTAGAGAGCGAGCGGAGCAGGATGACATCTAATTGGCTGGCGTGAGACGCTTATGAGGTCATGAAATGGTGATGTCACATAAAAGGTCATGAGGCGTCGAATAGAATCTGTGTTTTCCGTTAAAAGACTTGAATGACTGAAGAAAGAAGAAATGTGAGCTCTCTGCCAGCCTCTCACCCTCACCTGTCCAGCTCCATGACAGGTGGTGATCAGCTGAAAGGTGTCAAGGAACGGTCATTCACTGACCTTTGACCCCAGGCCTTCAGGTACATGATTGGACCTGAATGCCTGTGTTTGAATGAAGTTCACACTCTGAGTTTTTACGTGCTTTGATGAAATGCTGCCATACCTGTGCGTTGCAGGTGACTTTTCTGTTTCTAATAAAGGTGAACACACCTGAATCTGCCTGTTTGTTGTGACTTCTGTATCACTGCACCACAGCACACTCATCATTTCCACACAGCGATGGTTTGTTTGAAGGGTTTTATGTTCTGACCGTGCAGATCAAAGGACATAGAACCTCTTCGAGAACTCACGTGAGAACAGGTGTGACTGAGTGTCTTTAAGTCTTCATCGTGATGATGATGAAAGCAGGTTCCCTCTGCTCTGCGGCTCCATCATGGAGCTCATTTGAATCTTTTCTTTTGGTATTCATCCTTTCATTTCCATTCACATGTTTTGTGATCATGAGAGATTGTTGCAGCTCTTCCACATGTGGATACTGTTGAAAGGGAGCTGACGTCGTCATATTTTTGGATTGGGTAGCCTAGAAACGGATGGAAATAATAAAGACATTTTTATAGTACTTTAGTATTTTGAATTCTTGGCTGCGGTGTTTGTGAACGGCAGATTCAGGGAGGCGTGTCCCGAGCAAAAGGTGTCGCCCTCTGATTGGCTGTTTATTAACGTGGTCAAAGTCAAACTGCTTCAGTTTGTCTCACAGTTTTTAGTTTCTGTAACTCCGAGGCTGTTTTGTTTTGATCTCGCTGTATCCAGATCTCGCGAGAACACTAGCCCTCCCGTCGTTCGCCATTATAGCTAAGAGAAGCGTCCCCCGGACGAGCACCGGAGAGGCTCCGTTACCCGGACACAGACACGTTTTGCTCGCTGACACCCGCCGAGCCACTCTGCATCCAGGTAAGCCCGGTACCGGTCTGTCCGCCGGGCTTCAGCCCGACTCGGAGCCCGCTAGCACGGAGAAACGGCGGAAGGCCCGCTCCTGTTAGCATGCTGAGCTTGCTGCTTACTGTGGAGGACTCAGGTGACACTCACCTGGAGCCTCCCGGCCGAGCCCGCGCAAACACCGGACTCACCGATGGTGGTTTTCCGGCCGGGGGGGGGGGGTCACTGAGCGCGTGTTCACCTGAGAGGCTAACGTTAGGCTCACAGACAGGTGCTGTTCACCTGTCTGAGTCATGCTACGCTGAGCCTCCGGGAGTCCAGGTGTAACGTTTACCTGCTGATCCCGTCATCAGATGATGTTTGTCTACACTTTAAGTAGATTCTGACAGGCGTAACAGTGACGTCAGACACATGTGTCGCCAGGTATTTTTGTTTACCTGTTTGGTCACCATGGTAACTGATACTGATAAGCTGGTAATGGATTTAACTTGTACCTATTGGACAGGTGATTAAACTCTTTATCTCGGCGTGTGCATGTGTAGGTGCGCAGGTAGCAAGATGGCAGATGACCTGGACATCGAGGCGATGCTGGAGGCGCCATACAAGAAGGTGAGAGTCTGTTTGTCCTTTGCTCATGAGACTGTCAGCCGAACTCTGCTGCTCCACCCACTGCTGCTCACCTGCAGAGTTCTGCAGAGTAATTGGTCGCGCAGCGAGCTGGAAAATGAACAAAACTATGTCAGCTCAAAGTTCATTTGTAACTCCTCCTTCACCTACTGGCAGCGTTAAGGCTCTTTGACATCACTTCCTCTCTGGACCTTCCACAGGGATCCAGACTGACACCAGGGCTGCGTTCCAAAAGTCCATCCCATCTCCTATTCCTAACCACTTTCACTTTTCCGTGTTGAGGACTTAGGAAAAGAGAGGAGCTGTGCACAGAGAATTGAAATGACCTCACGCTCTTCTCTCATTAACAGCGTGGCGCCGGATGTCTGCCATGTTAAAACTACAGACGTGCAGACAATGGACTACAAAATGTGCATCTTACTTCGCCACAACGTGTTGTGACCCTGATGTTTTATGGAGGTCATAGAAATGGGAACAGCCCGTTTAAAAATGCCCAAAAGAAAAAGTCTGTGAGACAGAGTTTACTGCAAACTGCTCAGACTAACAGTGAAAGAGTCCCGCCTTGTTTAATAGAGTAGATGGAAATCGGATGAGTGCGTGGGCGGCTCGTACAGTAACATGGTAAGTGGGACGGCTCGTGATCAGACGGTAAATGGCGTTCCTGTACTTCTGCACATCGTCCAGGTCACCTGTTCACACAGACTTCAGTTTGTAATGATGCAGCTCTCCTGTAGATGAATCCCGAGCTCCACCTGAGTCCTAATCCTCAGACCCTCAGACCTTTGCACAGTGCTCACTGGTTTCTGTCACAGGAGTTATTTGTTAAATCCAAAGCAGACTGATTCTCCTTCAGCCTCCTCTCATGTATCTGCCTCGCTGTTTTCAGAGACAAACACTTGAACCTGAGCTCACACTGGATTATTTTGGTTAGCGGGCCTGCAGCGCCTCGCCCTTCAGATATTTTCTTCAACATGAAAAACCTCAGCTCAGTTCAATTCCACTTTATTTGTAGAACACCAGCAGTCGTATACAGGTGCTGTAAGGTAAGGACAGTGACACAGAGACGCCCCCCCCCCCGTGTGCACACATGTGGTGACAGTGGCAAGGAAAAACCTTTCAACATGAAAAACCTCTGGCCGCTAAGCCCCTCCCCCTGTCTCCTCTCTGATCTTCACTCATGTCACGGTCGAGCCGTTACGTTTGTGATTTTCCTCCGTGTTCATACATTTTTGCGTCGACCAATAAAATGTCACCGTTTTTTAACGCTGGGTTTCATTTGCTTTACTTTCACCGTTGTTTATAAATGATGATGAATATGAAGACGAAGCACAGCCCGCCTGCTGGCTGCTGGTTCAGCTGATACGTGATCATGTGACCAAACACTGCCTGAAATCCGCTGTGGCGCTGTGAGCAGCAGAGCGCGGCTGACCCTGATGATGATGTTGATGATGACGCGTCCTTCACATAATTAAACGCACATCTATCTCTCTTTGTAGACTTGCCTAACGATTTCTCACCTCTGCTCCCCTGAAAGCCACTGTGATCTGTCTCACTCAGAAGGTAGTAAAAGTCCCCATCATGCATTGCTGTACTCTGGTGCCCATGGTAACATGACTGTAGTTCCCTTGGTTAAACTGTCACCTGCTTCTGGTCCGACCCCCTCATCCCTCCCCCCTCCACTGGTGAGGTAGTGCAGAGGATTCTGGGAGATGAAGTCGAAGAGTTAGCTTAGCTTAGCGTGTGGGTGGTCAGGACGTGGGGGTGGGTGGGGCCTACCTGTGTGCAGGTGAGCAGCAACGTTGCTCTCTGCCAGAGGGAAGCACCGCGATTTAGAGCAGCAGCTCTGCAGGAAGTGCACAGTGTGACCTTGCACAACACAGGTGTGACTTCACACAGGTGTGCAGCTATTCAGTTTAATCAGATATTATTTATGTAGTGCAGGTGAGGGCGTGTCCTAAGCTCTGGTTCTGGTTCTTGGCTCTGAGTGACTAATGCCTCTTTTCCACTACTACCTGCTCCACTCAGCTCGTTTTCTGTTGTTTTCCATTACAAGTAGCGCCTCGACGTGTTGCTATAGAAACGTGGCCGAAAGTCTCGTAGTGTCATTCGTATGTGACACGATCAACGTAACAGCGGAGGATGGCGTCCTCGCCGCTGCACGGCGGGATGGTTTGTGCAGCGTTGTCTGGTTTAAAAATATGGCGCGTTTGATTTTTGTGTGGGAGACGCTCTTGTGGCTCATCGAGTGATGCCGCTCACCGGCCAATTGCTGGCATGCAGTCTGATGACGTCACAGTTTTGGATCGGCTCTCTTGGATCCCCGGCCAAGTAGGTATTAAAAGAGTACAGTACCAGGTACTTTTTTGGTACCAGGTACTTTTTTGGTACCAGGTACTTTTTTGGTACCAGGTACTTGCAGTTCCTGGAAAACCCTAAAACCCGAGCGAGTAGAGAAGGTGCGAGTGGAAACAAGGCTGTAATCCTCCTGTCTGCTTCAGGGCGTCACGGGAGTTTCACACACCTGAAGAGCAGCTGGACTTTGGAGTGTGTGTGTTTGACACACACACACACACACACACACACACACACACACACAGAGCCCCTTCCCCTCCTGTTTGAATGACGCTCATTAAACTGTTTATATTTTCTCCTGTCCCCCCCACCCCCTACACTCCCTGACACCACCTCATGCTGTTCTCTGTCGACCCCGCTTAGGAGGACGCCAAAATCTCGAGCCCCAACGGACAGGACGAGCACTCCAAGAGGTATTCACCTGCCTGCACATCCACAGCCAATCATCTGCCTCCTTCTCCTCCTATCCCAGCATCCTCCTCTGTCACATCAGTCCTCTGCATATCCTCCTTCACCTCCTCTTCTTCTCTTCCTCCTGCTTGGCAGCTCCATCTTAGGACGGCGTGTTGGCGCCACGTCAAGAACAAAATTGATCATTTTGAGGAAAAAGGCGAAATGTGGAGATGACTATTGTTTCAAGACAGCCGCTGTAGGCGCTACACAAAGATGAGCGAGACAAACTCATCAGCTCTTATTGTGATGCAACATCCATCCCATTTACTGCGCCAGGCTGTAACCATTGGTAACCGTGCATCTGCACCTTCTCTTCAGCGTCCTGACGCCGATCACCACGCCGCGTCTGTGCGCTATAGGAGAAATCACTTCCTTGTTACTAAAACAGAAGTATGACCTCACGACCCTGGAGGCAGTTTGTCCTGAAACACCAGCACATCTCCACGTTGTCTTGACGTGGCCCTGACACGCCGTCGTACCGTCTTCATCGTTTGTCACCCAATATATCCACTCTCCTCTGCACGTGTGCAAACCATCTCAGACTGAAAGCGTGACCGTCGGGACGTGTTCTGATTGGCTGCCGTGTGTCTCGCAGGAAGAAACGCAGCCGCAGTCGCAGCTGCGACAGGAAGCGCAGCCGGAGTCGAGACAGGAAGAGGAGCCGGAGTCGGGAGCGCAAACGTAGCCGCAGCCGAGACAGGCGGAGGAGTCGTAGCCGCAGCAGAGAGCACCGCCGCAGCAGAGAGCGCGGTGGGCGCTACAGAGACCACCACAAGCAGTAAGTTGCTTCCTGGTGTTTTTTTTTTTTTTTACATTAAAAGCTAACACACAGAGTAGGGCTGCCACGATTAGTCGACTATTTAGATCGTCGACGTGTCGTTTGAAGCTTTGTAAGATCCCAAAAGACGCAGGAATAATAGCAGGATTTAAGAGTGTAATAACGGACTGAAACAGAAGATGGCAGCACTGCATGTACAAGGATGCCAGCTGCCGTTAAACCTCGAAGAAGAAGAAGCTGTGTCCAAATTCAGGAATCCTCCTGTGCCCGCATTTGTAGGCCGATTACGTTACAGCGACACGACGAAGACGGTCCAAATTCGAAGACTCCAACAAATGCGCCCTTCATTTCAGCAGATTTGAAGGATGAGTCGGGTGTGTCCTTCGTGGCCCAACTTATCCCAGAATTCATAGCGCGGCCCAGCTCAGTTTCCAACAATGGCGGCAGCTAGTTAGTTTTAATATTACTCTTAGTATTCTTTCTGGGTCACAAAATAAACGTTTAACATATGTTCAAAAGCGCTCCGACGTTTTCAGAGACGTCTGTTACCCACTAGCTCGATAGTTAGCCGGGGTTACAGGCTCACTAGAGCCGTGAGAACACCGGACTCCCGGCAAATCGTTTTCAAACCCACCGCCGTCTTTCGCTACTCAGGTTAAATATATATGAGTCACTTAGATAACTTAAAAATGTTATTGTTTGGCTTTTTTCAGTATTTTATTTGTTCCTGAGTAAATCGGTTTGGCTGAGATTAAAGTTTTAGTTTTTACACAGCTGAATAAACGTCAAGCAGACAGCTGATCATCAGAAGTGTGAGATGCTCCAGAATATACTCCGGTGTCCTGTTATAGTTTAGATAGCAAGGAGTTTATTACACCGAAACAATCTGCAAATTTCATTAAAATTTAATAAACTATCATCTTGTCTTTATTTTTAGTTAGCACCTTAAAAGCTTAAAGCTGTAAGCTAATGATAGTTACATAAGAGCAGATGCTGCTGGTGCAATAAGCTGTAGTTTTACGTCCAGTGGATGATGATCTGATTAGTCGACTATCAAAATAATAGTTTGTGGCAGCCCTAACACAGAGGAAGGCTTTTAACTTGAAAACTGTAGAGGAAGTGTTCAGTAGAACAGTAGAATCTGCAGTAGAACCCTGTGTGCATGTTTCAGCCGGCGGCGGTCGAGGAGTAAGAGTCCCGTCAGGAAGGAGAAGAGTCCAATCAGGTGAGAGCGTGGGTCTGAGGGGAGGAGTCTGTGCCTGTCTCACGGGATCAATAACTGGTGTTGATGGCGTTCTTTCTGCAGGCAGCCCATCGATAACCTGACGCCCGAGGAGCGAGACGCCCGCACGGTGTTCTGCATGCAGCTCGCCGCCCGCATCCGCCCCCGAGACCTGGAGGAGTTCTTCTCTGCGGTGGGGAAGGTGAGACGCCAACTTCCTGTTTCTATCGTGGGCCTGCTGCAGCGCCTCCTCAGCGTGTAGGGGTGACTGCAGGTCACAGGGAGTTTCTTCTTCCCACTTGCGCCGCGTGCTGACCACAGGCGTCGTCTGATTGGTGGGGTTTAAACCTTCAATGCTTTCGTGGCTCACCGCGGGCGCTCCTTCACTTCTCTTTTCTCTGGTTGGTGGAGTTCTTCTTGTCGTGATTTTTGATTCATTGCTTCTATTTTACTCGTTCACGCTACAGAGTGTACGTTTGTGTTTGGTCACAGAAAATGGTGGAGACAGAATGTCGCCGCCGTGCGCTCGAGCCTCGGCCGATTGTACCTGCGAGCAGTCGGACCCTCAAGCCCGCCCACTCGTTCCACCATCGGCGTGGAAAGTGTTTTCAAATCTACTCTACTTGGAAAAATCAGAACTGTAATAGGCCTTGGAGGGGTTTAAACCTTAGGGAAGTGATATCACTTCCTGTTATGATACGTGATAGTTCACACGTACGCTGTGAACACCATCGAATCCATAGCTATGTTTCTGCTGTGTGAGCTTTTTACTTGATCGCTGTCAGCTCCTCGGTGGAAGGACACGGCGCTCTGGGACAGGCTGAGTGTGTGACGCGTGAGCTCCATATGCAGAATGGTTACACAGTAAACATAATGCATATGTATGTTAGACAGACGATGGATACTAATGAAATGTGAACCGCAGCGCGGCCGGTCCCGTCAGGGGAACGTCCCGGCGATCCCTACCTCTGCACTGGCTTTACTCTGATTACTCCGGTGGATCGGCTGGTTGGTTCCTATGGCAACTAATGTTGCTCCTGTGTTTAGGTTCGGGACGTCAGGATGATCTCAGACAGGAACTCCCGCAGGTCAAAGGGCATCGCCTACATCGAGTTCGTGGAGGCAAGTTCAGTTCCTCTGGCCATTGGGCTGACGGGACAAAGGCTGCTGGGAGTTCCCATCATTGTACAGGCCTCACAGGTACACACACACACAACCCCGTTTAACTATCTCAGTGAGGACCTTCATTGACATAATGCTTTCCCAGCCCCTTACCCTGTGCAAAAGGTTTTTTTTAAAAAAGTGTTTTAATGCAATTTGGTGTAAAGGGGGATGGGACAGGTCTGTTTTTTTATTATTTATTAATAATTTTTTATACTTTTATTGGTTTTTATAGTTTTTTTTTATAGAATAAAAGTAGCCAGGATTGGTGGCTAATTCTGACACTGACAGGTGAGCTGATCTTCCCTCGCTTAAGAAAGTACTGACATTGATGTGTGAATAAAGAGTTCAACCAAAACTAATGTAGTGTGAGTGCTGTGTTTACTAACACACAAATAAAACAAAAAAATGTAATAAAAACTTGAATTCAGTGAGGGTGAGATTCCCCCCATAGAGGTGAGGGAGGATCGGCTCACCTGTTGGAGATAAGACCTTTTTTATTGTTTTGTTACATATTAAGTATTTCAGACTGTTTCCCTACTGGTTGCATTATTAGAAAATGGGGACCAAAAGCTCTGTATTCCCCTTATATTGCTCACATATTAAGACTGTAGGATCAGATGGCTAAGGCTGACACAGCAGGACGCAGGAGGCAAACAAAGGAGGAACATATAAACCACACTGGGACATTGAAGGGAGAGTAAGGGTCCAGTCGGCCGCTAGGACCGTGCACCTAAGCTTAAAACAAGTACAACTAAGCCACAATTCCCTAAACCTAACCATAACCTAATTGAAACCCTGACACTAAAACCACATTTTGAGCCTCAAAAATGTCTTCAAACTTGTGAGGACTGTGAGTGTGTCCTCACAAGACTGTTGGTTCTCACAAGTATAGTAGAATGCAGATTTTGGTCCTCACAAAGATAGCTAGACAGGAACACACACACAGACAGGCTCAAGTTCAGGTACATCAAAGTATTCTAAATGTTCAAAGTTTAGTGTGTGTGTGTGTGTGTGTGTGTGTGTGTGTCTCTCTCTCTTCAGGCAGAGAAGAACCGAGCTGCTGCTGCTGCTGCTGCTGCCAACAACCTGCAAAAAGGGACATCTGGACCGATGAGGCTGTACGTCGGCTCGCTGCACTTCAACATCACCGAGGAGATGCTGCGAGGGATCTTTGAGCCATTTGGACGGGTGAGACGAACACACACACTCACACACACTCTCTCACACACACACACACACACACACACACACACACTCAGCTGTTCTCAGGTGACCCTCTGATGCCGTGTGTGTGTCTCAGATTGAGAGCATCCAGTTGATGATGGACAGCGAGACGGGGCGCTCCAAAGGATACGGCTTCATCACCGTGAGTTTGATTCCAGTGACAGAGACTGATTGGTGAACCTGTGGGTCACCTGGTCACATTCAGGTGAGCCCGTTATGACGTGTCGGGCGTCACACGATGTGCTCTGATGTCAGTTTGCAGATGCAGAGTGCGCCAAGAACGCTCTGGAGCAGCTGAACGGCTTCGAGTTAGCTGGGAGACCCATGAAAGTGGGTCACGTGACCGAGCGGACCGACATCTCCATGGCGTCTTCCCTCCTTGACAGCGATGAGCTGGAACACACCGGCATCGACCTGGGAACCACCGGGAGGCTGCAGCTCATGGCCCGCCTGGCTGAGGGTGAGCCTGAGGTCACACCTGAAATCACACCTGTAACCCCGACTGTTTGTGTGACCTCTGACTTCTGTGTGTGCGTGTGCAGGTACTGGTCTGCAGATCCCTCCTGCTGCTCAGCAGGCTCTGCAGATGAGTGGGGCTATTGCCATCGGAGCCATGGCTGCAGTGACAGGTAACGACAACGTGGGCTTTAGTAGAGACGGTATCCATCCCACTTTGGAGATGAGCAGCTCTCATTTCCAGAAATCTGGCCAAATTTATTAAACCCCCCAAAATGTGACAGAGTCAGGACAGGAAGCAGAGCTGCAGTCTGACACACCTCTCTCCCAAACCCCCCTGAAACCCCATCTCCATAGAGACTGTCAGCTCCAAAGAGTAAAACAGTGAAATGTGGATTATTAAATATTAGGTCTCTCTCCTCCAAGTCTCTGTTAGTACACGATAGAGATGGCACAATACCACTTTTCTATGTCCGATACCGACATCATAAATTTGGATATCTGCCGATACCGATATGAATCCGATATAGTGTGTTTTTTGTTTTTTTTGTTTTTTAATCAATAAAACAGTTTTTTTTATATCTTGCTGCATTTTGTATAAGTTCATACTCAAGTTTAAAAAACTAAACTAAAGCTATTCTGTTAAACCTGTATGCAAGAAATACACTGCAGCCAAAATATGTCACAGATCAGCAAAACTGATCAATCTAATAAACGTAAACCTGCAGCATCCTCCCTATTCTGGTGTTTTACTTAGTGGAAACATTAAGCAACCTAACTAACAGGGCTGCACAATCTGAGCAAAAAAAAAAAAAAATAGGGAACCACCCCCCACCTCGTGATGCTTAATCAACGTAATCAACCTTAATTTAATGCACATGTTAAAAAAAAATGCACAGAAATCAATTATTTTTCTACAGTAATTAAACAGACTCAACATCTTCCTTCAGCAGAACTGCAGACTGCACAGACGGTTCCCAAAGGAAAACGTACTACAGCTTACTGGGGTATATTAGACTTAACAGTTACTATATACAGTGATGGATTTCTATACATTTTACATCAGATTCAAACTGGTTGTAAGATTAAGATAATTATTTGTTAAAAGCTCGACATTTTAAATGAGAATAAGAAAGAAAAGTATGTCTTTGTGCCCCCTTTCCTGTTAATGTTCTTCCTGCCCCCCTGGCTAAACCCTGCACAGTTACAGCCATCAGCTAGAAAAAGATCCTGGTGTAGAAAGTAATATTAAATAAATTCTAACAACAGCTTATCAAGCTTAAACGTGCTGCTGTTGTTCAGCCGCTGGTTTCCTCTTTCTGGTGCAAAGTGGACCAAAAACAAACAAGAGAGACGGACTCGCGACAGAAAAGCCGATCAGCTGATCAGTGATCAGTTTCACATTGAAGTAGCAGCAGGAGAGAGAGGCAGTCGCTCCATATATCGGCTGTTAAGCTTAACGTGGGAACGCTTTACAAACATGATGAACTTACACACTTGCTTTACTTCTCTGGGATAACTTCCTCGGAGATGAAATGCCGGTTTGGTAGCGAGGCTACAAATACTCAACCAGAGCGCCAACAGGTCTCGCACGCCACAGCCACTCTATCACGTGAGGCACACTGCTCCGACGTGCTGAGGTTATGAGCTGAGTTACGCCATGTCGCAAGTTTTGTGAGGTGCTTTTGTGATATTTAATGGATCGGATTACATTTTTGGTTTCTTTCCAATATCCAATCCAGTAATTTAGGTCAGTATCGGACCGATACGTAATATGTGATCGGTCATCCCTATTACATGACTTAATAATTGATCAACAAATTAATTTACTCTGCCTTACAGAAACCTGGTTGCAGCAGGATGATTATGTTAGTTTAAATGAATCAACACCCCCGAGTCATTCTAACTACCAGAAACCTCGAAGCACAGGCCGAGGGGGCGGTGTGGCAGCAAGTTTTCACACCAGCCTGTTAATTAATGAAAGACCCAGACAGACTTTTAATTCATGTGAAAGCCTGATGCTGAGCCTCGTCCACCCCAGCTGTGAAACTCAGAAACCAGTCTTACTTGTTATCATCTATCGTCCACCTGGGCCTTACACAGAGTTTCTGTCTGATTTCTCAGACTTTATATCTAATTTAGCTCTGAGCTCAGATAAAATAATTATTGTGGGTGATTTTAACATCCATGTAGATGCTAAAAACGTGCCTGGAGTTTCCTTCCTCATAGTAACATGCTCATAGGGTCTCGTATGATTATTGGGGTTTGTCTGTATTATTTACATCATAAAGCTCCTTGAGATGGCTGACGTGATTTGGAGCAACACGAGAAACTCGTGTCACACCTGTTGGCTGCTGGTTGGTTCCTGTTCACTGATGTGAAGTGTCGGATTCTTTCAGCGGCCATGAACCCGACTCTCAACATGAACATGAACTCTCCTGCTCTGAACCTCCCGTCTCAGCCGCTGGCCACGCACTGCTTCCAGCTGTCCAACATGTTTAACCCCAGCAGGTAAATACCTCGGCCCACGTGTGTCCACAGGTGAGGAGGACCTGTGGGCCTCACCTGACCTGTGTGTGTGTGTGTTTCAGTGAGGAGGCTCCTGGGTGGGAGCTGGACATCCAGCATGACGTCATAGAGGAGTGTAACAAACATGGCGGCATTGTTCACATTTACGTTGACAAAAACTCCACTGAGGTAAGAACCTGACCTCTTACCTCTGACCTTATCGACTCAGCCGGTAGTCGTGAGCTCCTTGCTGCGGCCGCGGTGGAGAGAGTGAAGTTTGTTGGGGCACAGCTTTTATTTTCCTGACTCTGACCTTCGTTTGTTCCTAAAGTCTGACTTTTGTTTCTTTCACTTTTGGTTTTGTTTACTTTCACTGCGATGACCTTTGACCTCTGCTGTTTCCAGGGAAACGTCTATGTCAAGTGTCCTTCGATCCCAGCCGCCATGGCTGCCGTCAACGCCCTGCACGGGAGATTCTTTGCTGGTAAGATTCCACGTCACATGACCTGTGTGTCGTTGGTCAGCCAATCAGAGAGCACCTCTGACACACTCTTACCTGTCCTTCCAGGTAAAATGATCACCGCGGCGTACGTGCCCCTGCCCACCTACCACAACCTGTTCCCGGAGTCTGTCACTGCGACGCAGCTGCTGGCCCCACCCCCACGCCGATGACTCGTTGTCAATGCTGCCCTCTGATTGGACACTGTAATTCAGAGCCCAGCCCTGTCCTGCTGGTCGTCACACATGCTCAGTGTGGTTCCCGAGGTCAGAGGTCGGCAGCCGTTTGTTTGATACAAACATGTTGCCCAGTCTCGATTGGCTGGTTCCCCACGCCACCGTTTCTTCCTGTTGTAGAGTCTCTGTGCGGCCACACCCCCAAGTATCGTCCAGTGATTGAGCTCTGTGAGCTGCGAGGGTGTGGCCTGATGACATGATTGGTTTGCAGTTTAAATGTTTTTGTAAACGAGTTTCATTTTGTAAAAATTGTTGATTAAATTTTATTTTCTGTCACTCTGAGCTGTGGCGTCTGATTCTGACGGGCACACGCCCGATCTGATTGGCTGTGAGCAGAGCAGGTCATTCAGGAGCAGGTCACAGTATTCAGATTACAGTGTGTCAGTGACTATGGTCTGTATTTACCTAGATATCAGAATTTGCAGTGTCACCATAACTAACACGGGTCTCTCATTGGACACTGGACTTTAGGTCCTCTCGTGCTGGTTCAATAAAACATTGATGTCTAAGCTTCTCCACAAAGTCCAGAACATGATCTCCATCAGCCAGGAGGGAGCATCCACACCTGCCCGCTCTGGGTGGAAGGATTATTCCGGACTGCGCGGCAAGCTGGGCAGCTCCACCCCTCCTCTTCCTCAGGGAGTTGCACTGTTTAAATGTAACCCGAGCTTCCTGCTGCGAGCACCTGAAATCAAAAGAGCTGCCATGGAGGGATTTTTATCTTTTCACTCAGTGAGACTGAGGAAGGAAGTAGAAAATTAATGGTTATTTCATGGCTTCTCCACTAATGATGAAGCTTCTTTTGGCAGATACACTGAGCAAAAATATAAATGCATCACTTTTGTTTTTGCTCCCATTTTTCATGAGCTGAACTCTAAGTTCTGAAACATTTTCTACAAACACAAAAGACTCATTACTCTCATATCGTTCGCTGAGATAACCCATTCCACCGCACACGTGTGCCTTAGACCCCCCCACACTAAAAGGCTGACATGTGTAGTTTGGATCTGTACACAATGGAAGCTGCAAACTTCCAAGTTCTTGCACGGCCAGCAGACTCACCGGACACGTCACCCATCGAGCATGGGCACTGCTAGCATCATGGACAGGTTTTTTACGGGGCTCCCACACAAACGCAAAGCAGGAGAGGAAGGATCGCCAAATATGTTTCCAAACCAAACTTTTTCTTGTAAAACAAAGGGGGCCCAGCAAAAGAAGTTTGGGAACCACTGGTTTAATCTCTGGGACAATCTGTGAAGTTTGTCCTGTGAACAACATTTTAGAATAGTTGTGATCAGGGTTACACTCTGGGCATCAATTCATCCCACTCTGAAGGGAAGCCACATGTTTGTGTTCAGCCTGTAGATGGCGCTGGTTAACCCCCCTCCTCTGCTACAGGCAGGTAAGTTCTCGCATCCTGTTTCAATGCTGCTTTATCGTTTACAAGCCGGCATTAACACGCTGAAGGATAAGCAGGAAGTGAAACTCTGGCGAAAAAAACAGGCCGGACCTACAGGAAGTCAAACAGGAACTTTATTAACGAGTAAAAACAGCAACAGTCTGAGAAGCACAGAGAGAAGCCACCATCACCTCCTCACAGGAAGTCCTGCTGTGTCTCCGATTGGTGATTCTCACACGTACGCGGGTATTTTTGAAAACGGAGATTTTCCATTTTCGTTTTAAAAAATAATCCCGTCCACACATAAAGGCAGAAATGAAGGAAAACGCTGCTATGAACATGCCAAAGCAGCAGGTGGCGATATATTCCTAACCGTGTAGAAATGTTGGCCAATCAGAAGTCTAGAAGCCTCGGTGGAAAAAAGTAAACAAGGATGGGGCATAGAAGCAGTGTCTTTTTTTTTTTTAAACTTTCCATAGAAGCAGTGTCGCTACCCGATCTGTACCGGAAACCCGATTGGTACCAGCCAGATGAAGTGTTTACTAACAATTGACAGTGATAGCGGACATCATCATCACTATTCCAACAATCCTCTCCACACAGACAAGCATAAACACACTCGACTATCAATAAATCAAATTAAACACACGTTTGTGATTACGCTAATTCAGTTTACAATACGGTTCATTCGCTCAGTCAGCAGGTGACAGTGTCCTCGTACACTGGGGTGTTAACCTCCATTAAACGAACAGAAGAAGAAGAAAACGTCTGCACATGCGCAGTAAGGATCGGGGAGTCCTGATCCGTAACTATCTTTTTATTTTTTTGTTTTTGTCTACAATATATTAAATGTTTCATTATCGGAAACATTTTAAGAGATACTTGTTTTTCTTAACATCTTAACAGATACTCTGACCTGTAACTATCGTAAAATACTTCGACTGGAAGTAGACACCTTTCACACATGCGTGGTACAGATCGGGTAGTGACAAGCAGAACCGAGTCGAGTGTGGAGGGACAGTAACTGTGTGTATATGTAAGCATTTAAACACTGCAGAGAGTAGAATTAACAGTATTGTAGAAATTCATTTCACCGAAACAATAACGTGACGCACAGTGTGACGTCAAAAAAGGCGCACACCTTTGACGCTGCGTTTTCTGCGTTTTCTCCATTTTTGTCGTCCACACGTAAATGCAAAAACTGAGTTTTCGAAATTATCCACCCTGGCCGGAGTTTTTAAAAATCTCCGTTTTCAGTTACTGAAAACGCCGTTTACGTGTGGACGAAAAATGCAAACGCATAGAAAATTTTTCAAAAATACCCGGGTACGTGTGGATGTAGCCGTAGCCTCAGGCGAGATAGGTGTTTTCAGTGTGCCACCAGGAGGTGGCGCCACTTCTCCACTCCAAGTGCAGAAAATCAACTCACTGAGCATGCTCACTGTGTTGCTCCACACCTGAAGAGCGATGTTTGAAAAGTGAGGTTAGCTCCGGTGTCGTTCGTGGAGCTTTTCTCAGACCTGTGTGTGCGTCGAGTTGTGGTCTTCTTGAAGGCAGACAAAATAACAGAAACACCTGATCAGTGACCTGTCCAGGTGTGTCCCACCCCTCGACCATTCAGAGCTGGGATACGGTTAAGGAAAAGGATGAAGATCAGCGCTGGAATGAGCACGCCTGCTGCTGATTGGTCAGCGGGATGACTACCAAGCAGGTAATCACCTGCAGGTGTTAGATCTCATTCAGGTGAATGATGGTGATAGTGATGTCATCACGGTACCTTCGGGCCAGATCCACAGGCAGATTCAGCATCTTGGCGAGACGATTTGGAGCTACCGCTCCATACCCGTCGTCGCCAAGGGCGTGGCGGATCAGGTGGGTGGCGATATTCTGGTCCTCAAGCGCCGACAGGACCCGCCCCCTCCTCTCCAGCAAGAGGCGCTGCAGGTCGCCCAGCGTTGTTCCCTCGCAGGGAATTATAGGTCTCTGCTGCTGGAGGGCTGTGCAACGACAAACCACACACAGAGTCAGGACGATGACAGGAAGTAAAGACAGGTGGACACGTCTGAGCACGCTCACACCTCATGTGCACTTTTTGGAGCACTGTGAGTGATTATCTGTGACCTCAGTCTTCAAAAGAATTTCAAACTCCAACACTGAAAACATAAACAGGTGAAGACTGGCATGTGATGAGATGCTGGGACGGCTTAATATAAAAACAAGGTGACCAAGAGGTGGCAATGGGACAGTTTCAGAATAAGGTCGTGGTTCAGGGTAAAATATGAACTCACCTTCTGGTGTGTAAACATATGGAGCATAGGGCTGTGCGATATGACCAAAATCTCATATCCCGATTTAAGACATCTATTGTCCCGATAACAATATAAATCACAAAAATGTAACATTTTCTGTAAATTCTGTGAATCTTGGGCAGCTTGACTTGACTTGACGATGCGTGAAACTACACATTTTTAGACATAAGTTGTAACAGCCGCCGTTT